GCAGAGGCTGGTGGCCACTCTGAGCTAGTGTAGGGTGCTTGCTATGTTTGCCTGTGTGTGTGTGCAAGTGCACATGCATGCAGAGGCTGGCGGCCAACGCCGAGTACCTTTTTCAGTTACTCTTCACTTTAAAGTTAATCATTAAATTATTTTTGAGACAGGGTCTTTCTAAACAGCCCTGGAGTTTACTAGGAGCCTAGGTTGGCCTTGAACTTGTAATTCTCCTGCCTTTGCCTCTGGAATGCTGGGATTAAAGGTGTATGCCACTACACCCAGCTTCTTCTTTTTTCTCCTGAGACATCATTTCCTACTGAATTTGGTTTCTGCAGATAAGGTTAGACTGACTGGCCAAGTCCAGGGATCAGTCTGTTCCCAGGCATGAACAACTGCATCCAGCACTTTTACATGGTGCTGGGAATCAAATTTGGGCCCTCACATTGGAACAGCAAACACTTTACCAACTGAGGAATCCCCCAGCCCTTGACCTGGTTGTTAACTAGAGGTCCTGCTAGCCTATACTTCCAGGCCTCAAAAGTGATGCGAGGAAGGAGAATGGGAAACCTGAAGCATCCTGGGCTTCATTACAAAACTTTCTCAAAATAGATTAATTAAACATCACTTTTGTTAACACAGCAAGTACCTAAAGGCTGGGTAGCCCAATGGAAAGCACAGGGACAAGAGTGAGGCTTTTAGAGATTCAAAGTGTTCTAACATATGTTAATATATGAAGACTTCAAAGAGCTGTTTAAGGAGCAGTGAGGGCCCAGTGGCTTTACTGGTGACTTTCCTGCTCGGTTGAGGGTGGGAAGCATCCCCACCCTCTCCTTTGGTACCCACCACCTAGAGAGAACAGGTGCCAGTTCCAGCCGGTGTGTGAGGAAGGAGCACGGCTGGACCCCACAGGCTACTCACTTCATCAGCCTCTGCTTGGTGGCAGACTCTTTGAAGCTCCTGAACTCTTCGCCTGCTTTGATCTCATAGAACTGGGGCTTCAGGACCGTCTGCTGGTCCTCCTTCAGTTGCTCCTGCCGCTTCACTCTTTCTTCCTGCTGCAGGAGTCTGCGCTGCTTCCTGACTTCTTCAACCCAATCTTTTTCATCATCTGAACTCTCTGAACTTTCTGCATCACTGGGTTTTCCTTCCGGCTCTTCCTCCTCTTCCTGAAATCAAAAATAGCAGGAAGAGCTCTTCCCTCAGCCAAACATGGACCATTAGAGGCATCAACCCATCATAGTACGTGACAGCTGCTCCATGGAGCATCAGAAGACATGCCTTTAATTAATAAGATACACTCCGGGCTGAATGTCAAGCAATTAGTATGCAACTAATTACCTCTCATGTATAATCAGAGGCTTTGTAATTCATAGAAACTGTATGTTAAGAAGCCATAAACACACAGTATCTGTCTTTATGAAATGTCATGCTTTCCCTCATTTGAGGGTCTTAGATTTTTACAGAATACACATGTGCACACACAGACTCGTGTGCATGGAGGACATGAGAGTACAAGTGTGACTGTTGAGTGGAACAACAGGACTAACAGGAGGAGAGGGTGAGGAGGATAGGTAGACTGGTGTCAAAGTCTCCTTGTACAACACAGTGCCATGTAGACTGCAGAACAAAAGGTCTTTAAAGCAGGCAAACGACAAGAAGCCATCTCTAGCTAACTGACAATGGGTATGCCTTACCTTCTTGAGACGCTCCTGCTGCTCCTGCTGCTCCAAGAGTCTCAGCTGCTTCTTCCTCTTCTCACTAATCCTCGAGACAAGTGGATTGAGAAGCCTGAACTCTTCACTGTCCTCATCCACCTGGAAGTCGGGGTTCTCAAACATAACTTTAAATCGATCATCCGTGAGGATATTAGGGAGGCTCTGCAGGAGAGACAGGGACCAGTGTAAGTCAGCATCTGAATTAAAAACGAAAATCGCATCAGAAAATGGTTTTACAACACTGAAGTCTATAAGGTATAGATTATTAACATTATACAATGTTCAAAATTTCTTTAGAATCAATTTCTAGAACCTTCTGATTGATTCTAGGTTTTACCTTCCAACAACAAAACAAATTCTATTGATACATTTAACAGCTGATTGATAATTTTTGGCTGTTACACATAATAATCTAAAAATGAATCTTTGAGCTAATATGCTTACTATATAGGAAAGAATTTCTTCAATTGATATTTTTAGTGTAAAAAACCACAAACAACCCAATATTTTTCAAGGAAATGCATAAAAATTTAAGATATGGCTTTCTTTGTTTGAGTCAGGGTTTCTCTGTATAGCAGCTCTGGCTTTCCTGGAACTCTCTATGTAGACCAGGCTAGCCTCAAACTCACTGAGATCTACCAGCCTCTGCCTCCCAAGTATGAGGATTAAAGGTGTGTGCCACCACTGCCAGGCTAGGATATGGCTTTTAAAGTATAGTTACCATATTAAATTAAAATAAGAAAGCTTTCCAACGTCACAGTCCACAGTGGAAGGAGTTTAAGTTGTCAGTCAGTGTGGTGGTGTAGGTGGCAGTAGCAGTTTACTGTCTCCACCTAAGGAACTATGGAACTCCCAATTATGAGGCTGGGACACTTCCATGCATTATAAGGATAACTTCATTGGTTTTCTTCCTTGGACGATGGATTATTTTTAATGGACACAGGACAACCTCTATATTACAAAGCTTTGGCTATTCAGATTCATTTGCATGGTTCAGAACTGACATTAAACTTCTTATTTGTACTGTTTTAAACAGCGAGCTTCCTAACGTGTTTAACAAACACATTTGCTCACTGACTCACACAATGGTTATTTCACACTCAGGGCCTAGAAGCCAGTGGAAAGCAGCCACCCAGGAATGATTATAAATCGGAGTGACAGCCTCGAACGGCGCTGGGATGTGCCAGCCTACTTGTGACACTCTCAGCTTGTGATGCCTCACCTAACCTTACTTCTCTGGCTGATGCTCCACTTCTGAACTCAGGTCTGAATGCCACATTTGTGCAGAGCTATGTAAAAACACGGCAAATCACAAACCACGGTGAAGTATGGTCCGCTTAGTACTTGTATGAAACTACAAACTGATAACCCCTTAACTAAAATTCCAAGAGATACAAGTTCAAAAGTCTTCCTTGAGTAATTATCATTTCTAAAATAGACCAAGAAAAGAAAAGACCTAGTGTCTGACCCCAACTTCAGAGGGAAGAAAAAAAATCACAATGTGTTTGCTACAAAGCTCTGCATGAAAAAAATGTTCAGAATGTATGAAGGATGTTCAGGTGTATGAAGGTACTCAGAGAAAAAAAAGGAATCTAATGGAAATATCCAAGAGGGTATCCTGGGGACATGGCATCAAGGAGACCTAAAACCAAACAGGTTTCAACAGGTAGAAACTGGAAGAGAAGGGCTGGATGATCAGCAGTTAAGAGCACTTACTACTCTAGCAGAGGATCTAGGCTCTGCTCCTAGTACTTACACTAGCCAGCTCACAACTAACCATCTATAACGCCAGTTCCAGAGGATCCACATGGTCTAGCCTCTGTGGGTATTTGCAAGGGCGCGCACGCATGCGCACGCACACACAAACACACACTCAAGCATATACTCATACACACAGTGTACATTTTTCTTAATTAAAAAAAGAAATATGAAGATAGTATTTCAACTGACTGAGGAGTAGTCAATCATCTGACAAAAGCAGACTGGTAATTTGGAAAAGACATCTTAAAAGACAAAAATTAAAAACAACCAAGGCAGACTATAAACACTCTCATTACTCTATGACTGCTCTTCTGAAGCCCTGGGGGAGCCACTACTCAGAGAAAGTGGAAGGAGAGAGGAAGACACGACGACAAACTGAAGAGTCCTTTCGGGACCACAGCAGACAAGGGAAACTGCTCTAAGAGGTGGCAGCAACATGGTGCATGGCACAGGGCTAAGGAACAGACAAGATTCAGGGGCATCCTAGGAAGTGATGAAGAGGCAGGGCCTGGACTAGGGTGATGGAAATCAAAGGATGGGACTGATTCCAGCCAGGGAGCAATCCCTGTGAAGCACATCTCTACAGAACTAAAGCAGCAGCAGCTGGACGAGATGAGAGCGCTAAGGATTAAGCATGGGGTTAGGAACAGCTCTTAGCTGCTTGGTCTGAGTGGGCAGACACTGGGGATGATGAGCGCGAGCCATCATTAGGGCTGCAGGATAAAAGGTGTGGGCTAGAGCGAAGGGCAGGAAATGAAGTTCATTTAAGACTCCATGTGACACAGACATAATCCACATTCTGACCGACACTAACAGTAATTCACGCAAGGACTCAGGAGAGAGGAAGGGGCTACCAGGTAAATTTTGGAGTCACCTGTAAATGTGAGAAAGCTGATATTGGCAATCAACCAATATTTCAGGTCAAAAGCCATGTGCCTATTAGGTTAAAAAACAAAGAAGGAAAAAAATTTTAATATCTCGTTGTATTTGTCAAAATTATTATATTTAAAATATCAGAGACTGTTAAATAGAGTATGTTGTTGGTATTTTAAAGATTTTTCTCCCCGTTAATTTACAACAAACAAATTATCCTGCCTAAAGACAAGTATGCTTTAGATGAACGATTATAAAATAAAAAAATCCTTTGACCCAGCTGTAAAAGTATTTCCCTTAGGGACTTTTGCTTGTCTAATTGCTTATTTTCACAGCTGTCTTAAAAGAAAAAAGAATAAGGTAGTGATGTTCTTGAAGTAGTTTACAAGTGTCTGGCTGGTGATCTGTCTTATAAACACACACACACATACATGCTCCACACTTGCTTTGGTGTTTGGAAAACATGTGAACGTGGTGTTCAGCACTACCTCAAAGAATCACTTCTGTAGCTCTGAGCAGACAGTTATTATTATCTTGTCCTAATATAGAAACATACAAAGACTATCTGCTACTTAAAACCCTGACTCTCTAGCCCTACCTCTAGCCTAGAGGAGGTAGAGGAGGTCTAGTGGGGGTTGGGCAGTTTCTGAGAGAGGGAAGTGAGCAGTAACAGGAAGGAAATGAAGGCAGGCACGCAGGGGGAGGTGCTCTCCCAGCCTGCAGGTGACAATCCTCAGGTGCTGAGCTCACCTTTCAGCAGGAAGATGGCCACAGACCACTCTGTAGACCAGGCTAGCCTCGAACTCTCGAACTCAGAAATCCGCCTGCCTCTGCCTCCCAAGTGCTGGGATTAAAGGTGTGCGCCACCACCGCCCGGCTTAAGAACAGATTTTTAAAAGACCATATATTATATCTGTATTGCAAGAGTAAGATTGCACTTTAACAATGGGGCCTGATTTAGATTAAGTCAACAGAAAGCAAATCAAAGCCCATTTTATAAACAAAGCTTTCCAGAAGAATCTGGTGATCATGTGATGTGGCTATAAAGATACAACTGGTTATAAAGAGCCAGGAAGAAGACATAGCAGGTGACAGAGGAATGTAACACTTTCTAGGCTTTGTCCTCTCTGAATCCAGCACAAACAGTATGAACCCAATAACTATCCCCCTAAGAGAGACGCTCAAGTGAATGCATGCTGTCTTGGTTATGAAGTACAGAACAGATGCAAGCAAGAGTTAACGCTTGCCTGGAAGTACCATCCAGAGAGTCAGAGCCCACGGATGAAGTTAAACACCATCAGGCCCTTAACAACAGGATTCAAATTTCAGTGACTTCTGAAAGTACTCAACTGTGGTATCAGCATGAAGTGTAAACTGCCACTACTCTGATATGAACAGGAGCCAGCTCATGAGCAGCGGCCGCCATGGTGTTTCTTTCAGTGCTCTCAGTCTTGTGCCCCTATGGTCACCAGTTTACACAGCGCAGGAGCACGGCGTTGCTGGCACTTGCATCCCAAGTTAAACTTTCTTCACAAAGTTGGTGATCAATGAAGAAAAAAGATGACAATGTAGCAGAGGGAGGGAAGGCGGAGAGGAGGTGCAGAAGAAAGAGCTGGGAGTGGGAAATGGGACACTGCCACTGGCTAGGACTTGATAGATACATATTGAGAAACAGTGTGAAGCGAATGTCTCAAAATAAATCAGAAAGCAGTAGTAACAGAAGGCAAATCTCGCACTTGCAAAGCTACCAGCAAAGCCCTTCATATGAAAGGAACTCTCAGAGTGGCTAGGACAGGGCTCAGTGGCATGGAGCTTTCCTGGGATTCATAGGACCCTGGGTTTAATCTCAGTGCTGCAGAAATTAATATGCTCTTGGAGATAGTTAATGATATTAACAGGGCCTTGGATGAAATTTTGAAAAGCAATAATTTAGTAGGGCAAAGGAAAACACTGGGTCCATATTGAAAAAGTGTAGGAAGAGAAAACAGGAAGCATTGTTCAAACTATTCTTGACAGTTTTTACAAAATAAGTAAAAAAGTAAAATACTAGGATATTTTCTACTATTTTGATTAACAGTATATTTAAAAGGCTTCAGTTGCCTGTTTTTATTTTCCTAGACCAGGAAAGAGCTCCCGAAGTTCTGAGAAAACTGTCAGGGGAGGAGCAAGGGTAATTCCTCACTGAAATGAGCACTGTTGTGTGCTTCTAGCTTTCCAGGTCATTTTTACCATTTTACTGCCTCGCCTCCATTCAACCTCAACAAAAGATTCCCAATGGAAGGGCTGAAAGAGATGGCTCAGTTGGTTAAATATGTCCATAGAACCAACATGAAAATCTGGGTATGGCAGTGTATCCCTATAATCTCAGCACTGAGGAGGGAGAGACAGACTATCAGAACCCAGGACTTGCTGGTTACCTAGCCTAGCCTAAACCCAGGCACCAGGGAGAGTGTCTCAAAAACCAGTATGGCCAGAGAACCTGAAGACTAAGACCCTTTCCCCAACACACTGAGTTTCTCAAATAGAATGTACCAACTTCTGCATCTTCATCACCACAACTTGTCAGAAGGCTCTGCCATATACCAGGCTGCTCAAAAGAGCAAAATGGAGTTTAGTCCAAGTATCCTATAGCACAGTTGTACCAAGGACTGAGCACAAAGCATGTCTGAAATGCATAGATCTATAGTCTAAATTAGCTCCACTCTCTTCCTCTAGGAGCTTCAGGAAGATAGTACAATGATCACTTCCACATGGCTTGTAAAATGAGATTATAAAGCTGAAAAAAGTCATAGGCTAATCATCCTTAGACTCAGCTAACAAGACCAACGTGAATGCTCTGGGGAGAATGCCAGCAAAGTGGGAAGCCACTATTTCCACCCTGTAGGTACACACACTCAGGGTATACACACTTGGTCACACACTGGTGTACACAGCTACACTACAAAAATGTGAATTTAAATGAGTATGCTTGTTCTGTATTGGTTTATTATTCATGAAGAGGACAGGGAAACATAAAACAATCCATGTATTTTACTTTAAAGGAGGTCCGGAAGATTTAGATAATTTACTTAAAGAATATAATAGGCCAGGATAAAAGGCTACTGGGAGAGGCTAAGGAAGAGAAAGCAGCAAAATGGAGCATCTGGTCCAAACTCCACAGAAGTGGCAGTACTAAGATGGTTCCTACCTGTCCTTACGGTGAAAGGGAAGCTGAGGGAGTCAGCTAGCATCACAGCTCATGCACAGCCAGCCTCAAATAGGAGCCTGGATTCTGAGGAAGGCAGAGGAACCAAGGAGCACAGCTGGGCTCACACAACTATGCCTTGCACTCACCCGCCTGGTTGGAGAGCAGGGAATAAACTACCAGACAAGGAGCCTGCATGGCCCAAGGTGACAAGGTTAGGCTCTTACTCCAGGTCCCGCATGCTCTCCTGGTGGGCAAGGGTTTGGGGGTGGTAGACACTACACTGCTCTTAGCAGATGAAGGAACAGGACTGGGAAGGATCCCAGAGTCTTCATAAATCTGGAAAAAGTAGGCGCATCTTTCTGCCTCAGGACAATACTAATTGTGCTAACTTTTATTATTTTATGGTTGGTCCCTGTCTACTGTCACCTCAGAAAAGGCAGGCATGTAGCAGCTACATGGCAGCATATACCCTCCCATAATACGATGTCAAACCCCCAAAGCAGTTACTTCTAGAATTAAAAAACTCTTGACCAGAAAATCCTACAAAATCATGCAAATCAAGAAGTTGAAATTTTCGTGTTCATATTCAGAACATCTGTGAAACTGCCCAGGTCATTAAAGGTGTGTGTCTCTGAAAAGCCACCAAAGTGTCTGAAAGGTGTCACTTTAAGGAAGCGATGTGTGCTGGTCCACGACATAATGGTGCAGTAATGAGGGGTGCCCAGGCCACAGTGGGGCTGGACACAGGTTGGTGGAACAAACAGTGCTGGGTTCAGAGAGTGATGCTAAACTCGGCAGTTTTGAGTAGATGGTCTAGTCACTGACAACACTGTGAGCTT